CAAGTTCTAAGACTTTTTTTTAAATTTCCCTCAAGCTTTTGGACAAATCACTTAAAACTTTTTGGTCTCTATAGCCTCAGCTTTAAGTGGAAAAAAAATTTTGGTGTGATTTCTGTGCTCAATTATTTATGGGGTAGGTTCATTATTCTAATGACACTTTGGAACTGCTTTAAGGATTGAATAAGGTAATTTACATAAATGTATCTGTCACAATGTCTGGAATATACTTGGTATTCCAAAACTATTATTTTCTTCTCTCTTTCCCTTTACTTCGGCCAACATAGTTTTTTGCTAACTGGGAAATACATCTTCAGGAAAACAGGAATCACTTTCCTGTACTTGTTCTTTGATAGATTCCCCTGGGTGAACTGGGAGGTTTCTTTTCCTCCTCCAGACTTAGTACTTTACTTATTGGCATTTTTCTTCCTGCTTGGATAGGATAGACAGAAGCAGGATATTTCTGGGCTTTGATGACCCTGAAAGAAAGGAGAATCTGTTCAAGAGTTGCATGATAGACATCCTACTTCCATAGACCTTTTGGGGAAGCATTAGGGAAACCAGTCTTCTTCATGCTAGGGATGCCCAGGGATCAGTTGGCAATGAAGAAAGAGGTTTTCATCTTGGACAGGTTCCACATGGGTCTATTAATTGCCTGGGTCTTTAGCTTGATTGCTTAGACAGAAACTGGGCACAGCAGCCCTTAGTAAATGTTGGTGAGACTACTCAGGAGGTCAAAGCTACCAGCTCTAGTTCATGCATGCTTTAAAGGACCTGACTGAGGAATAGGGAAGATGGAGATGCTTATCATGGAGGACTAATTTTGTGCAAATGTTTCTGTTGAGCTTACTAGCCCTGATCACTCAATGTAACTAACCAGCTTTATTGCTGTAGCAATAGAGGGACAAGGTAGAGAGGCACCCTCTTCTGGGAAGGAGGAGCAGAAACATTGAGGCCACCTGGCATCCAGAATTAAATTAGAATAATTTAGGTTGATATCCTCAAAAGCTCTGATGTGCAAAGCCTGAGTACATTTCTTCCCATTTCCAAGTCTACCTTATTTGTTAGGGTTAGATTTAGGGTTTGTTGAAAGGTGTTGGTGATCTCAAGTGAATCCCTGGTCTCAGCACCAGACACAACAGCACCCCACCGCCATATATAGCATAGAAAGCAGGTTACATTATTCTAAACTGCCTTTTTCCTAGGTAGTCTATAGAGTCCATTATAGAAAATATATGAATTTATGCTTACACATACCTTGTCTTATAAACAAGAACATAGCTACTTCATGGCTCTAAAAACATGCCTAGCCTGGCATTTTCATGAGTCCAAGAAGACTTCATTGACACACTGTGGGTGCTTTCTGCCTGGTCGCATCTGACGACTCCATGTGATAAGCTATCCTCAGTGCAAGAAGCAAGGCCACCTCCCTCTCATTGATATTTCTCCTGACTGCATGCCGCCCTACTGCAGTCACAGTCTCACGTGCATGCATACATGCATTTGTGGAGCTAAAAATAAACGGCCGCTGATGGGCTGCCAGAGGGTGTCCTCCGGACTGAGCGGATGTCCTCTGACTCCCTTTAGTAGGCACAGCTTAAGCCATAGTCAGAAACTGAGGGTACCAGACAGGCTTAAGTTTAAACCAAAATCTCTAAGGCAAGTTACAAAAGCTAGGAGAGCCTTAGAGGGATGACACTAACTGAGCCCTAAGAACATTCTCTCCCAGGCCTCGTGCCTCAAATTCTCACGGTAACCTCTGGGAAATGATTTATTGGCTCCAGGAAAGCCACTGTCAGGGAAAGTTGATAATGAAGGTTAAGAAAGGAGATGAACCATGCATTCAGCCATGATTGTAAACAGCTCTCTGTTTTCTGGGCTCCCCTCCTTCTCAGGTCAGAGTTTATGCTAGGTGGATCCGGGATGCTGGGTGCATGGTCCGGGGGAAGGGGATGATTGGGGGCGTGTGACTTTGGTAAGATCTTCTCCTCAGCAAGAATTCTTCCCACCTCCATCACTCCATCAAGCAGTAAGCCCTTTGTCATGCTGAGGTGTGGCATTTCCTCTGCTGAAAATCCCAGATCCAGACACACCACACACCCTGACACACACACACACACACACATACACACACACACACAGGGACTTTGTCACCCTCAAGAAACAAGCTCCATTCAAATGGGTTTAAAAATAGCACTAATCCATTGAGCTCATTTTTCAGGGACGTTATTTTAAGAAGAGAAAAGATCTCTTGGTCTTGGAGAGCGAGAGAGGGTAAACCGCCACCTCGCTTGAAAAAAAGTCCTGATAATGTCGCTGGAGACAGCATTTGCAGTCTTTGTTGAATTTCCTCCTCCTCCCATTCAACAAAAGTTGTTTATTCGCTAACACCCGGCCGTGTGGGTATTTATAGAGGTGGGTTTCCTCTTCGGTGCCGAGGACAGGGAAAAGCTTCAGCGAGCCCTGACCCTCCCCTCTCTGCGCTCTGACCACCGGCCGCCGGCAGCGACTCCTCGGAGGCTGGCGGATTTGTGAATCAACTCTCCCCTTCCCCCCACACAGGGGGCCCCTACACGGCTGCTGGCCGTTCGCAAAGGGCTGTGCGTATGTGTCTGCTTAATTGCAGGCGTGTTTGTTGCTGCTCTGGGAGTCTGTCCATCTCTCTCGTCTGTAACTCGGATCGCTGCTCTTTGAGAAGCTGGAGCTGGCTGATTCCGTGGGAGACCAAGCAGGATGCGTGGGCGCAGGAAACAAGAGAAAGAAGAAGGGAGGGAGAAAAAGAGCAGGCGAGCGAGCAGAAGCTGTAGAATCTGTTATTTGCGTCACTCGAGGAGCAGGGGCTATCTGCCCGACAAACACACAGAATTAATCCGAGTTAGAGCCGTAGCTGTCTGTGCTACAGCGGCCAGATGCGAAAGGGCGAGGAAAGGACGCGCGCCCCAGTCCGCCGTGCACCGCGGAGTTGGCCCTGGGCAGCTGGGGGCGTTTGGGGAGGGGGTTGTCCTGCTGGGCACGCCCCTCCGGACACCGCACGCCCAGCGCGGACGAGGCTGCAGCCTCCTCTGCAGCTGCCCAGCCCAAGCCTGGGGTGGCGCCCGCCTTGGCCGCCTCGCCTGCTCAGTGGCTGCGCGGAACACAAAGCGCTGTCTCCGAGCAGAAGGCTCTTCTCGGCTGAACCAGACCCACCAAAGAGGAGAATCTGCACGTGACGTCAGTAGCTGCTGACTGACGCAGGCTGGCAAAGGAGACTCAAGGCGGCTGCTCCGCGCTGTCTTCATGAGTCTATTTTCTCCATCCCCCTCGTAGTGAATTACTAGAACGCAAAACACACACACAGACACACATATGCAGCTTTCAAAATATACATTTCCAAAAGCGGTGTGTTCCAAACACCACGCGATTTTGCAAAGCGTGGGTGGGAAACGTGGGAAGGGTATGGATGATTTTTTTCCCCTCATTTGGGAATCTCCATCGTGGATAGCATTAGACTCCAGAGCTTTCCTGGGAAGCTCCTCTGGAGAAGGGGCTGAGCATCCCCCTGCCCCAGCACGTAGGAAATCTGGTCAATGGAGACATGCAGCTCTAAGAATACAATCTCCAAAGCCTTCTGCTCGGGGAGATTGAGGAGCTTGCAACAGGCAGAGGCAGACGGGAGTTGACCGAAGGGAGGAAGAGTACAAGAAATATTTGGGCATTTTTCTGCTTTGAAAAGCATCTGCAATAATGCAAGGGGAGGGGGCGTTGAATGCACAGTTAATGTTTTGGACGCAACGTTCCAGCGAGATGCCTTTGTGTGTGGTTTTTTCAGTACTTGCTAAAAATAGCATCAGGGTTTGATCGTGTTCCAGAAATAGACCGAGGGCTGTACTGGGATAAAAAGCCAGCGCGGGTGGAAGAAAACCTGGACATCACCGCATACCCCCCCAACTATGTCTGGAAATTAATTGTTGGATTTTTCCTTTTCTCTCTCCTCTCTCCATCCACTTTCTCTTCCCTCCCCCTGTGTTTCTCTTTCTCTGTCTTAAGGAGTCCCCGTTTGGGTAAGTAATATTATGTCATGTGCATGCCGCAGACTGTAAGTATGAGCTGACGCTTACTTTGTGCATGCTCCGGGGTTCTTTTCTGGCTGCCTTTCGACCCTTTTCTAAAGCAGAGAAGGGGGCTAAATGCAGGGTAAGGGGTGTACCTGTGTGTATGTATAAATATATATATAATGAATTTGGGGCTGCATGTAAAGAAACGGAGCGGGGAATTCTTGCAGAGCAGGGAATCACCCTGACGAATCCGAATCAATAGCTGCTGCAACTCTCTCTTTTTTTATGAGTCGGCGCTGTTGAGCTCGGTCCTCTCGACTGCCCCCTCCCCTCTCCATTTTCTCTGTCTCAAAAGGTGGCCAGACACGACTTCATGGGCCATCTCTCTGCGAGATTAATGGAGACGGTGCTATATAGATCCAACTTGCATGGATGGGGCTGGGGGGGAAATAGAGGGGAGGGGGAAACCCCTATTTCCTTTGACAAATCTCCCGGCTCGCTCTGGCCAGAGAATCAGAGAACCGCACGACCTTGGTCCCGGATGGCCCAGGCGTCTGTAGCTGTCCACGGAAGATGGGTGCTGAAAATTCTTTGGTCCTCAGCGAGTTCAGTTCTGAGCGCCAGGGGGCGGGGTTGGCGCCAGCTGCAGCTAGCCCCGCCCTGGATGCAGAGGAGGGATACGGAGAGGAAGGAGTTAAGGATGTTCAAAGGGGATAGTCGTGACTTCGGTGAGAGCTTTGGGGGAAGGAGGGGGTGAGTGGGAAGGAAAGGGAAAAAATTTAAAGGAGAGGGAGCGAAGTGTTAGATTCGAGGAGGAGCCAAGGCCCTAGCGCTCCAGGAACTGAAGGCCGGTGGCTCACCGGCTTTCCTTACAAAGGCTGGTACTGTCTGGGTCTCCATTCCCGGATTTTTATACCTTCCCGCCAGTGGGTTTGAAAGATCTCTTCCCAGTGATGGAGACTCTCAAAATAAGAGACTATAGGTTGCTTTATTCGAGCCCTCATCATGATCCCCCAAGCAGGCTCCCACAAGCTGCAACTGTAGGGCGGTATGGAAGGATGTGTGTTGGAGCGTTTTTCTTATTCCCCTTTTCCTTCGCATCCTAGTCAGAGGCACCCCAAATGAATTGGTGGAACGAGCGATTTCGAAGCCAGAGCTCAGGAATTGCTCCGGCTATGCTTAGAGAATCCAGGCACAGTGCCAGAAGTCAAATGGTTGCAAATCAGCTTGGAGGGAAACTGGGGAGGGGGTTTTCTCCAAGTTGGCAAATGTTGCTGGGGAGACCATCAGCTGGCTGGGATCGTGGGCTCCGCCCAGAGTGAAATTCATTGCAATCAATTCCAGACACTCCGGCCAAACCTGTAGCCAGACAGGTGAGGAGGGAGGAAGGTTATGGGGTGCGGGGGGGTGGGGAGCAGAGGGATGAGAATCCTGCACATACATAAAGACATTCATACTGATTAACTCCTCCAAGAGTGATAATAAAAGCGCATTCTTAAACTGGTCCACGAGGGTGGGCTACAGATGTCAGGTTCTTGCAGACCTGCAGTAAGCAGGCAGGCATGCAGGGATATTTTATACACAGTGCAAACACACACACACATACCAACAACAACAACAACTTGGGACAGTTAGGTAAGTATCCGTGGGGGCTCATGTTCAGGAGAGAGACAAGAGGGGACCAGGAACTCTCCACCTACCTGGCAACTGCTCCTGGCTAGGGTGACCTGACCCCCATGCAGGGCAACCGGGGTGCAACCCTAGGGGGAACAGAGGGTGGACCGAGTTATTTTCAGCTCAGAAGCTGTCTTGCTTTAGGAAGGTTCCCTGGCTGGGACTGAGTATTGAGCAACTCACAATAGTAACAAGATCTGTTACTGATGTTGTGGAGAATAACACAAATAACGCTTCAACCCACACTTTGTCTTGACAATTCAGCTCAAACCAAGCTGCTAGCAGCCTCCCGGCCCACCCCGGGGCCTCCTCCTCATTCACTGGGACCTACCAGTTCCCTTCCCCAAGTCTCCACCCTCCAGCTGCCCGGTTGTGTTTACAAATTCTGCCACATTCGCCAAGGAAATGAGGGTGGGCTGGGGTGTCCAATAAAGCACTTGCAACTCCTGCAGTCTTGGTAGTGGGGCTTCCAGAGAGTCATGAAGGGGTCAGAGGGACGCCCCTGATCCTCATCCCCACCCCACCTCTGTCCTCTCCCTCCCCTTGCCCACTGCCCGGCACAATGCACAAGTTTACCCCCAAACTGGATCCTATTAAATAATTCAATGGTAGCAGTGTAATTTTGGTTGGAACCAGCACGGATTCCCAAGTCGTGACTGCAAAAAGTGAGTAATGCGAGCTGGCTGCGTCATGGCTCTAGTCACAGTTCATTCCGAACTGAGAAGGAATCGTGACTTCGCCTGAGACGTCCCCTACATGGGAGACGGGGGGGGGGGGGGGGGTGCGAGGCCAAGCCGGGGAGGGGGGGGACGGGAGTTGGGGGGAAAACCTATCCAATGAAAACCGCTGCCAGGGGGGCATTTGAACTGGGCTGCTCGCTGTCTCGCTCTCCCCTCTCTGCCCCGCGCTCCGCGCTCCCCCCTCCCGGCCAGCGCTCGCTCTCCGGCGCGCTCGCATGCTCGCTCGCTCGCTCTGCCGCCAACCGACGAGTCCTCAACAAGTTGGAGGAAGGCAGGAAAGCAGGGGTTAAGCTCGGCAAGCTGCAATTACCAAGATCGTGACCCTCCCACACAGTACAGTAACTTATATACTTACCTGGAAGAGCCCGCTTTGCCGCTGGGCAAACACGCGTGGGGGGCGGGGAGGGGCGGGAGGGAAGCGGCCCGGCCGGACCTGGGCTCCTTCAAGCTGGCTGCAGTGCGGATGGGACCGGCGCGCCCCCCGCGGCCCCCCGGACCCAGGTAAGGAAGCAAGGGGGTTGGCACTCTGGCCGGCGGGTGGTTCGTGGGCTCACGGGGCGGCCGAGCTGAACTTTTTTTCGCAGTTGCCCCGCGCCGCAGCGGCGGCGGGCGCGGACTGGAGCCCCCTGTGGCGCGGCGGGCGCGCCGGCGCTCGCAGAGGGTGTGTGCTTGCGTCTGTCGGTCTCGGAGCCGAGGGGAGGCGGTGGGAGGGTGGGTGGGTCGCAGAGCTGCCGGAGAGTGATGGATGGGCGGAGGGGGTGGGTCGACAGGGACGCGCAGACAGCAGCTCCGTCGTCTGGAGATGTTTGCTCGGGCAGGCAGGGCGCGGGTGTGAGTGCGCGCGCGCCCGCCCGCACGTCGATTCCAGGGTGCCAGCGAACAAATAGGGCAACTTTCCCCCGCAAGTTCTGGTCGTGTTCGCAGCAACCCACCCCGGCTGTGGAGGGTTTCCCTGCTAGGGGGCGGTGGGGGGAGAGACTACACCCCAGGGAGGGGACGATCAGCCGTCCCCTTGCCCGCACCCTTTCGAGACTCGCGGAGCAGCCGGGGAAGGCAGGGTGAGGGGGGTCGCTGCACCCGCAAGAAGGGCAGCCCTCAAAGTTTGGGCGGCTGGGAGGGGGGAGGGGGCCTGCAGGGAGGAGGGGGAGGGGAGGAGGGAGCGGGAGGGAAGGAATCCTTGCCCCTCCCTCTGCCGTCTCCCTGCTCCCTCCTCCTGCAGACGCCGGAATCCCCTGCCGTTGCGGGAGCCGGCGGATCCCGGGCGGGCTCGCCACTAGTCCTCCCCCAGCGTTCTGTAGAATGGGTGGGAAGGGGGATGGGGGCGAGATGGAGCCAGGAGAGGGCACCTGAGGCGAACGGGCCATTAGACACCCCAGATCTAGACGGTTGTGAGGAGGGTGAAGAGGGAACAGCCTCACTCTTCTACAGAGCATTCTTAACTTTTTTAAGGGGGGGGGTAATTAAAACATTCTCATTTTTCTAGAAATAGACTGACTAGCGTGGAGTTTGGGTTTATTTTATGCTCATCTTTGCCTGCGCTTTTCCGTCTGGATCTTCTGGCTTGAGTCCCATGGGGAGAGGTCGCTCTCTTGAAACGTTTTATTCTAACACACCGTGCCACCCTCGCACCTGGGCTGGAATTAGGGGGGCTGGTAGCGGAGGGGGGAGGGGCTGGTCCCGGACAGCATTTTTTTTTTTTTAGCAACAACAATATTTTAACGTGTTCCAGTCTGGGTCTTGTTGAATAATTAGAAATGGAAATATTTTTTTCTCCCTCCCCCTTCTGAAAAAAAAAAAAAAAGAAATGTGAGCTCTCTTCTGATTGGTGGATGACGATTTTAGTCCGCACCAATGAGCTGGCAGCCTCGTCTGTATTTATTTAGTGCTCTGGGGGAGTTTTTCTCTTTACGCAGCGCCTGTAGTCACGGCTGGAACCTCTGCTGGGGGACCAGAGGGATGAGAGGGGCTTGGGGGGAATCCGAACTGTACCTGTTCAGAGATCCGCGACCTTGCAGCCGAGGCTGGCGGAACCCTGATGCGGGAGTGGGGCGATAGGACAGGCGAGCGGGAAGGCTCGGGGTGCCGGGGCGAAGGGAAAGGGCTGGAGGCTGGGCACCGGGATCCCCGGTACCCCTCGCGCTCCGCTTCTCGCCACACACACGCCTCTTTCGCGGCCGTGCGGGGCTGAGTTGAGGGGCTCGAAGACGGTCTGGAGAGAAGCAGGGACGGGTCGAGGGGCGCGGGGAGGGGCGGGCGGCGCGCGCGGCGGGGAGGCTGAGCCGAGGTGGAGCGCGCTGGGGAGACCCAGCCTGCTCGGCTCCGGGGTATCGAGACATCCTGGGCTGAAGGCGGCGGCAGCGGCGGCGGAGGACCGAAGCAGCCGGCGGACTCTGCCCTTCGCGAATCTTTTTGCGGTCTGGGCTTGCTGTACATAACTCAATAGCCGGAAGCCCTTACCCCAAAAAGCATTCGCGGAGGGCGCGCGCATCGAGACGACGGCTTCAACAGCGATCGCCGAAGCCCGCACCTGCCCGAAGCGGCGCCGTCTCAGCCTTCCCCAGCCCTTTCCCCACTTCCCACGGAAGAACCAGTCCTCGCCCTCCTGTCCTTTCTGCGCTCCCCGAGGCCTTGGTCACGCGCCTTCCCGTCGCGCGGGTCCCCCGCCCCCAACTTTTTTTACCCGACTTTGTATCACAGGGGGAAATTGGAGCGGGTGGGGTGCGTGTCTTTTCGGAGAAGTGAGAAGAAGCTGAAATACAATAAAAGTTTACAGAAGTTGTGTCTTCCCCCACACCCCCGAATAACCCCCATTCACTCCCAGAAAAAAATGGGGGGGGGGGCTAGTCCTAGGGACAAGTTAGTCCCTGGAATACGAATCGGTTTAGGACATTTTATGATCCTTTCTGACCCTAGTGATCCCGACTCTGCAATATGGGGGCGGGGGAAGTCCTTGAGAGAGGGGAGTGGTGGGGGGTTCAGCATCCTCTGCCCTGGTGCAGGCGACCCAGAGGCCAGGCGAGCCGCGGTGAATCGGGTAGCTCCGAAAAAGAGGGAAAACACCAAGGCACCGCCCGCTCCCCGGAGCCTCTTCCTCCCGTGCCTGCTTCCAGCCTAATTCGGGGCGTTCTGCAGCCTCGGGTACCCCCCCATCTCCTCTTTTTCAAAACTAAGTAGCACGGAAGGGGATAAAACAGGCGAGAGCTGGGGAAACCCCCGCAGAGGAGCTCTGGAGAGAGGCAGTTGCAGAGAGACTCGGCAGCTTAGCAGAGGCGGCAGCAGCCCCATCCCGGCCTCTCCAGGTGCCCGGTCCTGGGGAAGGAGGAGATACTGCAGGGGTGGGGAGAGTTTGTGGGTCTCCCCCCCCCCAACTCAATGCAGTCGTGACCACTTGGGTTACAAGTGGCACGGACCAGGCCTGCTCCACGTTTGACGCCCCGTGCCCTCCGTCAGCTAGGAGCACTGCTAGATGCCCTTGCCCTTAGGGACTGGGCCAGAAGGATGCACAGACACACACGAGTGCCCACGGGGATGGACAGAGATAAAGGATGGGTCCAGGGATAGGAGAGCCCAAGACCCCAGGGCTGCAAAGCTTCCCATTTTCGGGGAGGGCCTGAATTTCCCCCGCACCCCAACCACCGTGCTTCCAGCAAACTAAACGCCCACTGTCAGCCCCTGTCCATGAGTGGAACACCCGAACAGTAGCCTCTCCGGAGTGAGCCATGGGCTCCGCAGCCCGGCAGTGCTGGACAGAGGCAATGTTTTATAGCTCAGCCTGGGAGAAGGCACTGAAGACGAGGGCTCCGAACTCTGGGGCTAAATCAGAGTCCCCCTCCCCAGATAAAGGTGATTTCCCCTCCCTGGGGGCATTTTCTGAAAGAGTAAAAGGGTCTCTAAGATGTGCAAAGGTGAAGGAGCCAAAGCAAAATCCCTGGGGGGGATTCCTGCTGCGTCTCACCTGGGGCCGTCTGTGGAGCGACTGCTTTGCGGAGGGAGAGGCGTAAGAACCACGTTAGATTTAAAAATAGCTTCACCCTGTGTCCCTTCCACTCCTCTTCTGTCTTTTGTTTCTTACCTCCCCACCTTTCCTCAGCCAGAACGCCCTTCCCTCCCCCCAAAGCCCGAACCTTCGTGAGACTGGGGAAGAGAGGTGACCCAGAAAGAAGTGAACTTGCAGAGAAGGGATTGAGCCAGCGGAGCGCAGGCGACTCCGGGTTTCCGCGTCCCGGGTCCCCTCTCTTCCCCCACCGAGGCGAGGTGTGGGGCTGGGGTTCTAGGGTCCGGGGGCACCCGGCAAAAGCCAGCGTCGTGCGGCCCCAGAACGAGTCCTCGCCTCGCTTCGCCTCGCCTCGTCTCAGCCAGACAACTGTTGCTGCTTCGAAGCTGCTGCTGCGGCTGCGGCTGCGGCGCAGGCAGCTGCTGGGGCAGCCGCTCGCCTGGGGCCGAGGCTCCTCGCTTTTGACCGGGGTTGAGGGCTTGCGGAGAGGGGGCCTCTCATTCGGACGGGGTGGGAGGAAAGGACCCCTTCCCTTTACCTTTCACAATAAGTGGAAATTGGTGGCTTCTTGTGGCTTTCCTTCCCTGTTCAGGGCGGTCACGCGAGTCTCAGGCCGGTGGGAACTGATCTCCCCCTTTCTCCTCACTTTGCGAAGTCGGGAGTGGGGGAGGATGGGGGAGCTAATCTCTCTGTACCCTCAAACCGTCTGTGCACACCTCTCTCGCGAAAAGCCACCGCGTCTCGTCAGTCTGGGGCCTGATGGAAACTTCTAGGAGTTTGAGTCTGATACCAACCTCTGGAGTGCGATAAGAGAGAGGCAGTCCCTGGGGACCCCTCCCCACCCACCACCTACTTCTCCCCCCTCCCCCGGGGGGATGGGAAGTGCTGGAGAAGCCGCTGGAGACACTTGATCCCCAGGCTCAGCCAACTGGCTTAACTTTTGATTGTGTTAAAAAGTCAAGACCAGGGGTTGCCTATGCAGCCAGGGAGTGGTATGAAGGGGCCATGGATCCCCCTACTCCAGGTCACCCGCTCCCAGCAGGGAGCGACTGGTGGCCCAGCCAAGGGGGTGCATTTTCAGAATCTCTCCTGCTCAGGCCTGGCTGCTCTCCATGGTCGCTGCTGCCCCTCTTCCCCTGCCTCCTGTCTCTGGTGTCTGGAGCCCTGTCCCCTCCCTTTGTCCTTTGCATCTTCTCCTCAGGACCTGTGCTTGCTTTAAGTGCCTCTCACTTGCCTTGTCTCAGGTTCGGAGGCAAAGGGTGGAAGGTTCTGGGCACAGTTGCTTCCATCTCAGACCCAGACCCTCTTCTCTGCTCCAGGTAGGACTTCACTAGCAAGCTCCTCCTGACATCAGGGGCAGCCTCCCTACTCCTGGACTTCCTGTGAAATACCCCAGCCCCTAGGCTTTCCCCCTGCTCCGAGCCAGCACAGTAACCCTGCCCATCTTTTGCCCTTCCAGGTGGTCAGCCTGTCCTGACACCCAGAGGTCTGTTCAACGGTGGCCGCTGAAGGAGCAGCTCTCAAGAGGCCACAGGAGCTGAAGAGCCTGGTCGTGTGTTCTCAGGAGTTCCAGGTGAGTGCAAACAGATGTGGTGCCTGTGGCCTCTTCGCTTGGGTGGACGCAAGGGTCGCCACCCACACACCCTGCTTGGTGATGAGATACTGAGAAGCCAGAGATCCCATGTTTGGGGACTGTCCTTGATGGCTTAGTCCCTGTCGAGGAAAGGCATGGGGTTATCAAGGTCACAGGGAAGGGCAGGATACTGCAGGAGGCAGGCTCGCTTCCTGTCCTGTGTCCTAGGCCAGCTTTGGGTCTGGGCGTTCGGAAGCTCCCCATACCCTAACCCTGAGGGGTGCAGACCTTACTCAATGGGACCTTCTGTTCCCTCTTCACCCCACTTTCTGGGCATTTCTCGCCTCTCATGAACCAGGAGAGTTGCAGGGTCATTCCCTAAGCTCAGTTTCCCTGAGGATGCCAAAATGTAAGGTTATGGCTCCTTAATTGGAGTTTAGCATAGGTTGGACAGGAAGAGTTTTGGGCTTTTTTTTTTTTTTTTTTTTTTTTTTTTTTTTTTGAGGGATAAGACCTTAGAGTCTAAATACATTTACTTTTCCTATTCACCAGCAAAAATTCTTTTGCAGAGCTTCTGTTTAGCTGCCTTTCAGAGCTTCAGACTCCTACTATGATTCTTACTGAGGAATTCAGTTCCAAGCTTGGTAGAGAATTTTGGACCTCCAGGGCAGTTAGATTTGCAAGGAAGGGAAAGATTGAAACACCAGGCTCGGGCCAGGGAGTCACGTGAGCCAAATGTAGGAAGCGGCTAGCACTCTTCCTGGGAAGCTTGAGATCATGGCAGAGCCTGAGTGGGTTAGACCTAAGGCCTTCAGGTCGTTGTAACTAAATGATCGCCAGGCGGACTTTTGGAAATCTTTTCATTTTCCAAGTAGAATGCAAATGATAAGGAAATTGGCTGGACTCCATTGTAATTCCCACCATGCAAAGTGAGAAGGCCATCGCACTGGTGGCTGAGACAAACATCTTTTCAATCCCTATCTTGTGTATAAGGAGTTGAAGTTTGCAGCCTGTGTCTTGGGAAAAGGTGTGGTTGTTAATTCTAAGTGGTTAAGATCTCTCCTCATAGCCCTAATGGACATTTTAATCACACTGTAAGGAAATCTAAGAAAATAATGTTGGGGGGGGCGATTTTCTTGTCTGATGGGTATTATCTTCTCGTTATATTGGGGGAAAATATCCACCAGTGAGTTAAATGCCAAACTTAGACTATCTGGCAAGCAACAGATGGAAAGAACAATAGAGAGTATATATAGACTAATACCTTCATTTTGTAAATCGAGAGGTTAAGTGGTTTTACCAAGGTCACGTGGCTGAGGCTCCAACCCACACTATTTATTGTCTACTCCAGGTTTTTGCTTTACTAAATATTTCTCATCACTACCCAATGACACAGATAATCCATGAGTTGTAACAGATTTCTTTCCAAAATGGTTTGCATTCACGGTGTGGGGGATCAAAAGAAGAGTTTGCAGAAAGTGTCTTCTGCCACTGCAGCGTTCTGGGGCATCCCTAGGTTGGCCCGCGCTCGCCTCTCTTGTCTCTAACGTGGACAGGAGGCTCGGGGCTCCTGGACCTCAGTTACCTTGGTCAGCCGAGCAAGTTTTCAGCAAATTTGCTGTGTCATAGGAACCCAGTATCAGTTTCTCTGACAACCTCTCCTAGCATGAAGCAGCTCCTAGAGGCCTAGGCCCCTCTCTCTGACTTCTCTCCTCTATCTTACCTGTGAGGCTTGATTATGAGCTGCTAAGAGGATACTAAGGACCTGTGTGAATTCTCCCAAGACCTCCTTTAGAAGCAAGAAGGACCTCAGAAGGAGCTTTCAAACCAATCAGAGATCCGCTGGGTCCTTGTCCCTCCTATATGTATGTGTGTGTGTGTGTGTGTGTATGTGCGTGTGTATTTTATATATATATATATA